AGAAATATCAACAGTTTTTCATGCCGTTTCAGCCTTGAGTTTTGAAAAAATATCACGGTTACAATAATTGTCCTGTATTGTTTATATTACATGATCTCGTTTTTACCTCGGTGGAACGTTTTGAATCAATAATGAACAAGTTTTACAATGCGACCTGAATTGCATCAGTTTCCGTGTCGTGATTTACAAGAAAAAACCTCTCTCTTTCTCCAAGGGTCCTTTGAAATGCTTCCTATATATTCAAACCCTTTAAAGAAATCTACGGAAAGATAATAAAAATATAATTAACAATTTATCAATTTAACGATTTATCTAAAAAAAGGAAGAAAGAGTTTATACTGTGAATAAAATGTGCGAATCGTCATGTCGTTAGTGTGGGCAAGAGTTTGAAGGTACCGGTCAGCCTTTCTAAGCGTATAAATGGATCATATGCATTTAAATGGTCCCGATTCGAAAATTGGGTTTGGTTTTACAATGGTCTCTAAATCTGAGGCCATTGCACTTCCCTGAAAGCCGTGTCCAACAAAAGAAATCCGAGTGTGGGATGGTCACTGGTACAAGCCTGACAAACGATTCCCTGATGACGAACAAGGCCTAAATTAAAAGAAACGTTTTGAAACTTGCTGAGAGATAATTAATGTGAGCTGGATGAAATATGACTATACGAGATCAATTAATAACATGAACTCCTAGTTACATTGAAACCATTAATTTTACAGTAGACATTGCCGTAATAATGGAATATTCTGTAACTGAACAATTTTATAACCTCTTATTTAGATTTATTTTTTATAGGTATTTTCTTAGTTCAATATTTGGAAAAAAAAAGGAAAGTAATGTGGACAGTATTTATACTAATTTTAACAAGGTTTCAGCCAAGTTTTAATCATACTTACATACACCTTCATTTCTTTTTAAAAAGATAGTTCCTACTCACAGTAAGTTGTTTTGCAACGATACGGATGTCGAGCCTTTTAGCTCATCATCAGGTTGAAGGACTTCTACAACCACGTCTCTCGACATGAATTGCCAAAGTGAACCCGCTGATACCTCCGCCAACGCGACGTTCCAATTAGCAGCTGATTTGTTTAATGGCGCTCAATTTGAACGCGCGAAACGCGGAAATTATAACCCAAATAAATATTATACTAGTAAATACTTAATATTATTAAATTACTATAAAAATAATAACAATTAAAATAATTAGTTTAATTATTTGGATGTTTGATATTATTTATCTATATATTTAAAATGGGAGGTAGATCAAAATCTGTTATATTATTAATTCATTTATCACCATGTTCAATTTTACATTTTTTAATTTCAATTTTCTCTTCAAATTTCTCAAACCAATCTAATTCTTTCCCTTTGTTGAAACTATGTAACACTCTTGTATTTAGATTTGAATTGAAATTATGTTTTATTTCTTTTAGATGGTCCTTAAATTCCGAAAATTTGCTCGATTTAGGCAAGTGTTCTTTCACTCTTGTTTTTATTTCTCTACCGCTTTGTCCTATATATTTAATATCACAATCAATACAATTGAGTTGGTAAACCCCACTTTTTGCCAAGTTGTCTACTTTGTATTTAGGTTTTGAGAGGATGTTTTTAAGTGAACCCGTACTTCTAAAAGCTATTCTAAAACCTTCTTGTTTAAAATTTTTTTTAAAACTTTTTCCGATAATTCACTAATGTAACCTAATGATTCATTTGCGGTGGGGTGGCTGAGTCCTATTGTTGATTCATTTAAAGTTAATTTTTTATTCTTTTAACTAGCAACCTATCAATAAATATCTCTTGATACCCGTTGTTTTTTGCTAAGGTTTTAATAGTTTTTAATTCTTTTTTATAGTATCAGGTGTTAGCGGAAGTTTTAACATCCGGTCTATGAGCCAAATGAAACCAGCAGCCTTTTGGGACCATGGGTAGTAAGAATCCGCTGGTATCATAGTTGTGGGTTTTCTATATATGTCTATTTCTATTAGGTTGTTTATTATGGACAGTTTTAGGTCTAAATTATTATTTTTATAGTAATTTAATAATATTAAGTATTTACTAATATAATATTTATTTCCGCGTTTCGCACGTTCAAATTGAGCGCCATTATACAAATCAGATGCTAATTGGAACGTCGCGTTGGCGGAGGTATCAGCGGGTTCACTTTAGCAATTCATGTCGAGAGACGTGGTTGTAGAAGTCCTTCAGCCTGATGATGAGCTAAGGGCTCGAAATCCGGTTTGGTGCAAAACAACTTACTGTGAGGAGGAACTATCTTTTTAAAAAGAATTGAACACCGCACTCACCCCATCATTCATCATTTCTACACCTCCATTGTCCGTCAGTTAATATGTAATATAAGATCGCAGTTTAGACAATTTTTTGCGAGAATATCTTTAACAACTTTACACGACTTTTGATTACTAGTTTTTTGATATCCTACTTTCTTTCTTAACGTCGTTAGTCACTCAGACTACCTTTTACGGTGAAGCTTTAAATCTTTAAACCTCACTACAAGGAAAGAATGAACCCTTTAAAATACGACCAATCATTTTTTTCTTACTCCAATGAACCCACTTTGTGTATAATATGCAATGTTGGTCTTCTTTATACACTTTGAAACAATTTTCTATATAACAAGCTTTGTCGTATTATTTTTTAAATATTTTTTTATAAGTTAGTTTATATTTCATCAAATGGAATGTTTGGAATGATAGATTGGCGCACAGAATTTTCAGAACCTTCGATTCTCTAGAGCGGAACTAAAAAACGAATATAATTTAAGCTCTGACTTACACACACGCTTTGACACAAGTTTGGGAGTGGTGCTAGTGTGACCTAGACTTATATCGAGAGTGAGAGAGAGAGAGAGAGAGAGAGAGAGAGAGAGAGAGAGAGAGAAAGAGAGAGAGAGAGAGAACGAGAGAGAACGAGAGATATAGGTAAAAATTACTTACATACCATAACTATTCCCAAATATACACACATATTATGTTACATCGTTTTCCATAATACAAACATAAACTTTCGCTTCTGCCAAACGGTCTTAGATAAATTTTTCTTTTGCAATATTCCGAAACGTACTAATTTGGAACATGTGGTATGTCAATTCCTTCCAAGGTCAATGGTTTGATAATAAAATAAAAAACAAAGGAAATAAATAAATTCAAGAGAGAGAGAGAGAGAGAGAGAGAGAGAGAGAGAGAGAGAGAGAGAGAGATATTAAAAAATAAGAGAGTAAAAATGTGTGGAAGAAGAGTGACTCTGTGAGAGAGGGAAAAGAGAGAGATAGATTATTAAAGATGAGATAGATTATCAAATAAATAATAAACAAATTTCAAGTCAATGTTAGTGAATTTATGGTTTTATAATTTCCTCAATCATACCCAACCATGTAAAGAAGAAATTAATTCAAAACGTAGGAAAAAAAAAGAAGTTGGGATAATTGTATTTCGTTTAAACTCATACTTTTTTTAACACTTATTGTTAAACCTGCGGAAGGAATGATATGATCAGATTTATTCAAGCAGAATGGTATTTTATCTTGAAACCCCTTTTGACATTGGAATAAAAAATTTATAATTTTCTTTGTCTGCTAGAATTGTAAATAATTGAAAACCTATCAGATCGTCAGTTAATTTTAATTCCCGTTGCATTTGAAACTTTTTTTTGGAGGAGGATGATCATCAAATGATGATTATCTATGATGATGAATAACTTTCTCATATCAATAATAATGAAATGAAATTTCGTTAACTTGATTAAACTATTATAATCAATGTTTAATTGTGGAAGAAAAAATAGGATCTGATTTAGTCACTCATGCGTGTCAAGTAGACTGATAGTTTATCATTGAACTCTTCTTTTTGTAATCAGATTTTTAACGATGGTCAGAATTTAAAGTTGTTTAAATCTGACCTCTCACGGACACAAAGCTGAGGATAATTTACTTACTGACATGACAATCATGATTCGAATTTCGTGACGCGTTCTGACGTTTTGCCCGGTATTCGGCCTCCGCAAGACGGCCAAAGCACTCCTGGGATCTGCACATCTCAAGACGTGCTCGACATAGTAACGTAGGTGGACTTGCAAATCAGTCGCAGATCTATGTACGATGACCGGAAGAAGTTCTAACAAGGGACGACCATTTATATGCAAATTAATGTGGGCGCGGAAAATTTGCATGTTCGCCCTTTTTCGGATGAAAATATAGCCTACCCGATAAATTGGACGGTAAAGCTTGTTATATCCGTTCGCGCCTTTTTTGATCTGAGATATAATTATTCATTTATACAAGCCCTGATTTCTGCAAAACAGTTATGACATATATTTTTACAAAAGTGTGAATAACCTTTCACTGAATAATTACAACCAATTTGCATAAACAAAGCCATTAATTTTACATAAAAATGACTGTTTTATAAGTGAATAAATTGAATTATAAAAAAAAATTATGGCAGTTTTTAACCATTCGGTATTAAAAAAACAACTCACTCTTTCACTATTTAAAAAAATATTAAATAATTCCAACTGAGAAAAAACACAAAAACAAATGAATGTAAGTTGTGAACGGTCTTGTTTTATTTTCCTTCCCACCAAATAATTTTAAAAAAACTCCGTTTTCGCTATTTTAAAAAGTATTCGGATGTCCAACTAAGAACAAAAAAATGGAATTAAGTTGGTGAACGGTCTTTTGCTTTATTTTCCTCCCCCTTAAATAGCTAAAAAAAACTCTCCCTTTCGCTATTTTAAATTAAGAACTTCCAAATGAGAACAAAAAAAATGGAATTAAGTTGATGAACGGTTTTTTGTTTGATTTTCCTCCCCTTTAAATAGCTAGAAAAAAACCACTTCCTTTCGTTATTTTAAAAAGGATTAAGTACTTCCGACTGAGAACAAAAAAAAAGATGGATTTAAGTTGGTGAACGGTCTTTCGTTTTATTTTCCTCACCCCTCTTAAATAGTTTCCGTTGCATGGTGACATCCGTGGTGATCCGCAGGTTCCTCCGGCCGCGAAGTGAAGTGATTCGGTGATGTTATGGTGGTGATACTCATCGTCGGGGGAGAACACCCCTCACCGCATCCCTCGTCGACGACTGTATCAATTGTTTCTTCGGATTCGCAGGTTTCCCCTGATGACCAGTTGGCCACTACAAAGGAAGGTATGCAGGATGGTGGTAAGCCAATTATTTTCAAACACATTTTATGCTTTACTAACCACAGGATGATCTATACGCGTGATATGTGACATCTACTTTTCTACTTTTTTAGTGTGTTTAAAATACGATTCAAAACCAATTTACAGTACATACAATTCAATTATTTCCAGATTTTAATTTTTATACTCTTTTCATTTTTATGTAGATTCTGTTTTTTATGTATATATATATATATATATATATATATATTTATTTATTTATTAGGCATCAAACGTGTCAAAATTTTGTTGACCGTATTTCGGTAATTTTACAATGTCGATTATTTTTTGAAAAGATGCAGAAAGTTGCCATATCTCGTAACCATTTTCTAAAAATCTATTTGTTTTGTTACAACCAATATTTTTTATGTGTTTCTTTTAGTATCCTACAGATTTATCGTTAAGGTTTAAAAAAATACGGTATCGTTAATTTATGGTAACAACCTAAAATTGTGACAAAATTGTGCACCTTCTTTTCAATACTGAATATATTTTTGTCCGTTCTTAAGTGTTTAAAAAAATTGTTTATTATATTGTAGTACCAATTATTGCTTTATAAAGTAGAAATAGAATCGTTTTAATAGGACGATGGAATGATGAATAAACACAATTTATGCTTTACTAACCCCAGGATGATCCATATGCGTGATATGTGACATCATGTTTTATCTTTTTTTGGTATGTTTAAGGTACGATTAAAATCCAATTTACATTACCTAGAGCGGTTTATCAAACTTATACCCTATATTTTTAATTTTGAGAATTCGTATTGAAAAATCTGTAGGGGTGTTGAATAAGTAGTTCAGTCCTTTCCGACATCCGAACATTCATTAATTAATTAAGTTAACATTCACAGTTGTTTCAATATGTAAGATAAATAACAGGTTTAAAATTAAAAAAAAAAACTATTTTAAACGACTTAAAAAAGTTGGCCTAATTCAGCTTATCAGTTTTCACAATGAACAGTCAGTTCGACTTTTGCTAAAAAAAACTCGGAAAAGAATAAAAAACAGTTTACCATAACTAAAAGTCAATTAATTATTCTTTTTATCTAAGGTGTTGTTAGACATGAAAAAATTAGTGCCACGAGCGGGATTCGAACCCACGTCCTTCTGCTCAATACGCCGCTGCTCTAACCACTTGTGGATCGTGGGTTCGAATCCCGCTCGTGACACTAACTTTTTCATCTCTACCAAGACCTTGGATAAAAAGAATATTTACATATATAATTATAGAGGTATTTCCTGCCTGTACTCAATCGCAAAACTTTTCTCTGCTCTAGTCCTATCCCGCATTGACGCCTTCGTACTAAGAAAGGGTTTATTGAGTGTATATCAAATGGGTTTCCGTAAAGGTTACTCTACAAGTGATAATCTACTTGTTCTGTTAAATATCATTAATATCAAACTGGCCAAGCCTAAACAAAAAATTTTTTGTTTTTTCGTGGACTTAAAAGCCGCATTTGATTTTGGTTAGATCGTAGAGGACTTTTGTTCAAAATTAGTAACTATGGCTTCTCTTCCAAAATTTTGAATATCCTAAAATCCCTTTTCACACAAACAGCATCAGAGGTCCGATGGCGTGAAGGTTTATCCAATTTTTTGAGGTTAAATGTGGTGTTAGGCAGGGTTGTCTATTCAGTCCAGTTCTGTTCGCTCTCTTTCTTGATGATCTCCCCTTGACTCTCGAATGTGGAGTCCGAATAGGCGTCCGCCACGCCTAGAAATATAGATTAGACCTAACTATGGAATTCAATTTCTGACCCCTCCAATTCATTCACTCAATTTCCTTTATATAATATATGCCTTTATTATATCCGATTTTTTGTCCCTTTACCATTAAGACTTTTTCCCTCGGTTTGTTTTCTATTAGAAGTAGTTTTACTATTATGTTTAATCTTTTTTGATGGTGTACTAGCAAGTAGCGAATAAAGTTATAACCTCGCTTTAATTCTTATTATTTTTTCGTTTATTCTTTTTCTCTTGACAACGACCTCCGGCAGACGGATTGTGGTCCATGCCTGTATTATGCATTGCTAATAATCATTGTTATATACGTAGAAATAAAAAGCAAAAAAGAATATTTACTTGAAATAATTAATATGGTCAATTACGACCGCTAAAAATATATGGATTAATATAACTAACAATGTTTAAATAACGCTTGAAATAACAATTTCATATAACTGCCAGATTGACTAGATTGGTAGAAGTTAGTATTTGATGATTTAAAAAAATTACTGTGTATTTTGTTTTGTTTTATTTTTACATATAAGTATAAAGTTGGCAGGGTTAAATCTAAGCTCTATGCTTTCAATAGAGGGAAAGACCACGCTGTTTCTCCATGTCCTTTAATAATGTTTTATATAAACAAGAAAAGGCCATCCTTGAAAGCATTAGAAATATAATTGCACTTCTGTTGCTATAATTGAATCACCTTTCCTTTGACCTGTCCTTTCAGATTCGTGATGAGCGCCTGCAGAATGCCAAGCGATTAAATCGTGAGCTATGAAAATATGCCGTGGAAAAGCGGAATCGTCGGAAAGAAAATTGTCACTTTATGCTTTAATTTTCTTTTAACTACCCGCGGCGCCTTCTGAATCCCCTGAACCGAATAACGAATTGAAGCCGGTGACAACGTGAGCAATTGTTAAATAGAAGTTTCGACTTGGGTGCCAAAACAAAGGGCGCACGTTTCATAGCGACTCGAAAATCATTTGCATGCCTAGGTACAATTTCCTGTTTTACAAGAACAGCTTGGACGTCAACGGACTCGATTTATCTTTAGAATAATCAGCCGTTCATTGAACGGAATTTAAATAGGTTCACTATGGTAATGGTTTGAACTTAGACTGGCAAGGGGCTGCTACGGATCCCACGATCACATACTTTAATGGAACTTTTTCTGGTGATCATAGGTCGAAAAATACTAGTCACGTGTCCAAACGTTCTTACCGATAGACCCAAGGAGCCGAGATTTATAAAAAGTAATTTATTATATATATAGCATATTACTATATGAGCTCAAATCTACGCACGTCTGCGCATACGTACGCAGTTGAGGTTATCACATCTCGCAATCCACCTTCAATTCCAGCTTTTGTAAATTACAAGTAATTACCGGCAGACCGGGGTCAGAGCTCGGTCTTATCCGTCCAACCTCCGAGTTTGAGCTCAAGGGGGTTTCCAGGGCTAGGTCAATTCAGCCTCCAACGCATTCAGAGTCTAAATTCAAACCCATTCACATCTCACTCATTCTTTAAACTTTCTTATTTGCATACCATTCACTCAGTTAGGGTAGTACAGCAATCGATACCATCACCCTTTACAACTATTGGATAAATAACCGAGTTGAGAGTCGATGGGGTACTCACTGTCGACCCTCTCACACTACATATTCACGCTAATAAATACAATCACTCTCACCACACACTTAGGGTAATCAACACTATATACAATAAAACAATCTGTTTTCTCCGAGAATCGGAACCGGGGTCCCAAATACTCGCTGCCCTCGAGCACAGTTCTTTTATTGGGTGGTTCTTACACGCTTGCTATATGGAGCAAAGGAATGGCACCCTTCAGTTAAATAGGACATATCAACCAACCTTTTACTACATGCCGAGAACATACGCGGGGCATTGGCCCAAAAGTAAGCACTTCCCATGGCCTATTCTCAATTAGATGATGATGATCTACGAGTGAGATCTTCCGACGGTCACGTATCTTGCTTGACGGTGACAGCTCTCTGCCGATCCAGCTCCAGATCGCTGTCGAGCACAAGAACAATTCTTATATCGGGTGGCATTCCTACGCGCTCTCTATTTGGAGAGAAAGAATTGCAGCCTTGAATTAGGTGGGACACATCGAGCAGTACTTTTCTACATGTCGGACACTTGCAAACATCGATCTGCCTTTTTTTAGGGTAATAAAATATTTAGCAGGTTTGTATTACAGTGGATAAAATATCTGAAAAACGCAAAACCAAAAGTCTAATCAGCCAGGCCAAAAAACAACTCGGATTTTTAAACACCATTTAAAGTCATAAATACAAATTTTTTGAACGACACTGTTTGATAGTTGTTGTTTCATTTGTTTGATAAAGAATTATCGCACCGACAAAATAATAATTTATTTGTATTTTGATAGATAACTGGAATTTAATTCCTCTTAGATAGGCTTTTCGTGTTTTTGCGAAGTGTACACACAGGAATAATAATAATTAATAATAAATAACCGCTTTTAAAATGGTTGATAAATAAATTATACGCTACTGGCAGAGTGCTTAAAACCACAGGACGAATTATGTAATTATGATAAAAGTTGGAATAATGACATTTGTGAAGATTGATTTAAAAAAAATCTATAATGAATAGAAAATAGAACGAATGATTTAAATCATGCAACACCAACTAAAAAATTGGTTTTACATAAAAATTTATAACTCTTCTGGATTTTATCCAATGTCCACGCCATTAGCACCATTTATTTGAAAGGATAATTTTCCTTCTTTTCAGCATGGTTTAAATTTTATGTTGTTATAATACAAGTGTAATGCATAAAAGTGAAATGAACAAAAACTTGTATATCTCTAGTTTTAATTAATTAAGGTTTTTAGTTGAGATAAAAAAGTCAATGTCACGAGTGGAATTCGAACCCACGACCTTCGGCTAGATACGCCGTTACTCTACCACTTGAGCTATCGTGACTTCGATCCATTCGGGCACTATATATATTTTACACAGGGCGGGCGACCAAAATCGGGCACTAACTTCCCATCTCAATCCCACCTTTTGAGTTTTCCCTCCTTTTTGCCATTTTTCAAATGTCGTGCAAACTATTATTCGAGCGGCGTATCTAGCCGAAGGTCGTGAGTTCGAATCCCGCTCGTTGACTTTTTCGTCTCAACTAAAAACCTTAATTAATTGAAAGATATTAATTGGTCAAGCGGACCACGAAAACTAGTGAATTTATCTAGTTT